ACCTTCCCAAAAACAAAAGCCCAGGATCTGATGGATTTACAAATGAATTCTACCAAATGTTCAGAGACAAATTAGTGCCTATCCTTACAAACTCTTCCAAAAAATTGAGAAGGAAGGGATAATACCAAACACATTCTATGAAGCCAACATTACACTTATACCAAAATCAAACAAGGACAACACAAAAAAAGAAAACTACAGGCCAATCTCCCTAATGAACACTGATGCAAAAATCCTCAATAAAATTTTAGCTATCAGAATCCAACAATGCATCCATAAGATAATTCACCACGACCAAGTAGGATTCATTCCAGGAACACAAGGATGGTTCAACATCCAAAAATCAATCAATGTTATCCAACACACCAACAAAAAGAAATAGAAAAAACATATGATAATATCAATAGATGCCGAGAAAGCTTTTGACAAAGTGTAACACCCATTCATGATAAAAGCCCTTGAAATTCTTGGGATACAAGGAACATACCTCAACATCATAAAGGCCATATATGACAAGCCAACAGCCAGTATCATTCTCAATGGCGAAAAGCTGAAAGCATTCCCATTAAGATATGGGACAAGACAAGGTTGTCCAACTTACCACTGCTTTTCAATATAATACTGGAAGTCCTAGCCAGAGCAATAAGACAAGAGAAAGACATACAAGGAATCCAAATAGGAAAAGAAGAAGTCAAACTATCACTATTTGCAGATGATATGATAATATACATAGAGAACCCCAAAAACTCCACAGAAAAACTAATTCAACTCATCAATCAGTTCAATAAAGTGGCAGGATACAAAATCAACACACAAAAATCAGTAGCCTTCCTATACACCAACAATAAATCTGAAGAAGAAGAAATTTTAAAAAATCCCTTTTTACTATAGAAACAAAAAAAATCAAATATTTGGGAATAAATCTAACAAAAGAGGTAAAGGACCTATACAAAGAAATCTATAAAGCACTGTTAAAAGAAATAGAAGAAGACACAAAGAAATGGAAAGACATCCCCTGCTCATGGATTGGAAGAATGAACATTATGAAAATAGCCATCCTACCAAAAGCAATATACAGATTCAATGCTATTCCAATCAAAATTTCAATGTCATTCTTCAAAGAAATAGAACAATTATTGATGAAATTCATATGGAACCACAAAAAAAACCCAAATAGCCAAAGCTCTCCTGAAAAAAAAAAGAAGGGAATGGAGGCATCACACTCCCAGACTTCAAACTTTACTACAAAGCCATAATCATCAAAACTGCATGGTATTGGAACAAGAACAGACACATAGACCAATGGAATCGAATAGAAAATCCAGAAATAAACCCACAGATTTATGGTCAACTAATCTTTGACAAAGGAGCAAAGAATATGCATTGGAGCAAAGAAAGTTTGTTCAATAAATGGTGCTGGGAAAACTGGGTCGCTACATGTAAAAGAATGAAGCTTGACCACTACCTCACACCATGCACAAAAACCAACTCAAAATGGATTAAAGAACTAGACATAAGACCTGAAACCATAAAATACATAGAAGGAAATATAGGCGAAACACTACATTGCATGCACCTCAAAGACATCTTTATAGACACATCACCCAAAGCAGTGATAGTGAAGGCAAAGATCAACAGCTGGGACTACATCAAATTAAAGGGCTTCTGCACAGCAAAAGACACCATAACAAAAACAAAGAGAAACCCCAACGACTGGGAGAACATTTTTGCACACAACACCAATGATAAAGGACTGATCACAAAAATCTACAAAGAGCTGATGAGACTCAACAAAAACAAAGAAAATCATCCAGTCAAAAAATGGGCAGAAGAGCTAAAAATTTCTCTGAAGAGGAAATGCAAATGGCCAACAGGCATACGAAAAAATGTTCAACATCACTTGTAATCAGGGAAATGCAAATCAAAACTACCATGAGATACCATCTCACACCAGTGAGAATGGCACATATTAAAAAAACTAGCAGCAACAAATGTTGGCGAGGTTGTGGAGAAAAAGGAACTCTCCTGCACTGCTGGTGGGAGTGCAAACTGGTCCGACCACTATGGAGAGCTGTGTGGAGATTTCTGGACCTACTACACACAGAGCTTCCATCTGATGCAGCAATTCCACTCCTAGGTATTTACCCAAAGGACACAGAAACATCAATTCCCAAGAGCACCTGCACCCCTATGCTTATAGCAGCACTGTTTACAATAGCTAAGTTTTGGAAACAACCCAAATGCCCAAAAATAGACGACTGGATCAAGAAGATGTGGTACATATACACCATGGAATATTACTCAGCAATCAAAAAAGATAAACACATGCAATTTGCAGCAACATGGATGGCGCTGGAAGGGATCATGCTCAGAGAAATAAGCCAGAAAGAAAAAGAAAAATACTGCATGGTCTCACTCATAGCAGGAATCTAGAAAACTTAAATAAGGGACCAGGAAAAAGAATAACTATAAGAAAGAAAATATCAAAATCAACAAATAACTATGAACAAGAGACACTCTATGGGGGTTGGGGGGCGGGGAAAGGAGGCCTTGGGGTCAAAATAAGGGGGTTGCAATTGTATGGGAAATATAAAAATAAAATTTAAATAAAAAAATAAATTTTGCCCAGTATTTGTTAATTATAAATAATGCTATGAATGTATTTTCGTAGAAGTTATCACTTATTTCTCTTGGGTGTGTGCCCTGGTATAGAACTGCTGGATCATAGTGTAGGCATACATGCAGTTTCAGTAGATACTATCCAACTGTATAGTCAGTACTTTTCACTTTTAACCACCATGGTGGATGTGTTGTTGCATCTCATTGTGCATTTTCCTGATGACTAATGATGCTAAGCACATTAGCCATGTGGGTAACCTCTTCTGGGAACTGGGCCTTCTTTTGAGGGATGCTCCAGAGAAGGGCAAAGAGTGTCACATGAAGAACAACTGAAGGACCAGGTTGACCATGACCACACTTCTCAAATCTCTAATGAACAGACTTGGGGAAGAAGGAACAGAAGTGGTCTGTGGCTCCCCAACAGGCAGAAGACATCATTTACTGAGGTTACCAAGACATGGATGTCTGATTAGCAAAAGGAACTTTCTAACAATAAAAAATACACAAGGAACCACTGGGTTGATTCAGGAAGTGGTGAGCACCTGTGAGGATAGGCATGGAGGTGGGGACCAAAATGTTAGGAGAGGTCCTCCAAGGAGTGTGATGTCTTGATGGTAGTTGTTGGGAGCTGAAAAGATGAAACTGAAGGTCTGATTTTATTATGAAAGACATGTTTGGAGTCACTAAGTGGAGAGGAGAGAAGCCAGATATTTAAAAAAAAAAACAAAAAACAAACTTGTTTCCTGGCCTGTTTGCATTTATTTTTTCCCTGGCTGATCTCATTCTCTTAGTCATATGGGAAAGCACCTTCTGAAAAACAGTGTGTGACTCCATCACTCTCTGCACTTGCTACAAGCCCCATCTCAGGGCATACCAGGCCTCAAAGGCCCGCATGCCAGTCACTTCTCAAGTGGTTTAAATTAGGCCGGGTGTGTGTGCGTGCGTCCACCAGCATGTTTTCATTCTGCATCTCTTGAGGTCATCATAGTGCCTGAGTCACCGCATAAATCACTGTAAGCAGTAGGGCTCCGGGAAAAGATGGAGACCTCTCCTTGTCCCAACTGGCCTGCCCACCTGCCCAGCAAAGCATCCTGAATGCCACCATGTGGCTCCCTCTCCCCACCTTTCAGCAACTTCCCTAGTTCAGACCCCTGATTGACCTCCATGAGCTCCACCAACCTCCGCCTCTTCCCTGGCATCTTCCTCCACACCAGCTGGAAAGGGCTCTGACAAACCACACATCTCAGCACCACTGGGGAGAGCCGCCAGAGCTTTGTCCTCAGAGGCATCATCCTAATGCACCCCACACTCCAAGACTGAGAGCTGCTTGCGGGCAAGCGGCATTCTCTCTGGGGGCCAACAGAAAGGCATAACCCAGGGGCTCAGGTGCTGAAGAAGGTTTGTTAATGAATGAATGTGTGATGTCTAGGATTATATTGACTTTGACAGTCATAGTCCAAAGCATTAGTAGGATAAAAGTTGGTTTGTAGAAAAGGCTGTGGAACTCATGCCGCTCCTCCCTCTCCATTTTACAAACACAAATTTTGTCCTTTGCCTCTTATCAGTTGTTAACGTCAGATACAGTTTTATGTAGCATGTTTTTGCATTTTCTGAAAACCTATAGAAAAATATATTTGCTGCACATTGAGCAAAGGACTAATTTGCTTAAAAAAGTTCCCACAAAAGAAAAAATATAGCCCAGTAAAAATAATGTAGAAAGAACAATTCACATGAAAATATAAATGACTAATAAGCCTATGAACAGATAAGAAACTCAGTCACAATTATGGAAAAATAAATCAAGTTTGAAACGCCCATTCTCACCTATGAGACTGACAAAGACGAGAAAGTGTAGGATTCCTAACACTCAGAGCCTTGCAGGAAACCAGCAGGGCCACACAGGACAAAGCCCTCCGCGGTAAACCCTCTTTCAAGGAGTGTTAAGCCAAATACACACACCCTTTGACTCAGCCATTCACTTCTAGGAATTTACCCGTTTACTCACCCAATAGCACAAAAACATGTGCAAGTTCTCTGGTTGTTATTTACATTAGCAAAAATACCGGGAACCATATGGAAGTCCAGCAGTAGGGCACTGGGTAGGGAAACTATAACGCAGACCCAGGACAGGCTACATTATCATTGCCTGACCTGTGGCTCTCCGCCCTCCCCACCCCGCGCTGCCACCGCTAACTCCACCCCGGCAGGGTCCAGGCCCTGCAAGGGCTCACTTCAAGCAATCTTAAGAATTCTGTGAAGTACATTTTATTCCCATTTTACCGACGAAGAAACTGAAATGCAGAAATTACACTGTATTAATTTCCTAGGGCCATCACAGCAAATCACCGCAAACTAGATGCTTTAAAGCGATGTAAACTTACTCTTGCAGCTCAGAAGCCAGAAGTGGGAAGACCAAAGTGTTGGCGGAGTTGACTTCTTTTCGCCAGTGTTGAGGGAGAAACTACCCAAGCCTACCTCCTAGTTTCTGGTGGTTGCCGGCACCTGGGTTTGTAACCCAGGTTACAAACCTGGTGGCCTCCCTGGGTTTGTAACCCCATCACTCACGCCGTGACGCCATCATCGACTGCTCTCCCTCCCGGCTATGCCCACGCCTCTTCATGAGAAGGATGCAGGACCCGCCCTAATCATCTTAACAAACTACAGCTGCAAAGACCCTTTTTGCAAATAGGGTCTCATTTGCGGCTACAGTGGACACAGCTCCTGGGGTGGGGCACACTATTACCCAGGAGAGCATAGTCTTAAGCATGTCATGTGGAATAACTAATATAGTCCCCACAACAGATGAGGAAACCCCTACAGATGGGGAAACTGTGGCTGGGGGATTAAAAGTCACCTGCGTTTACTCAGCCAGTAAGTGGCAGGCCTGACGCGTGCTGCAGGGAGGTGGTCCCAGGGTCCATGTTCCTAACTACTAGGCTCCACTGCCCGCCATTCAGGGACCAAGTGACCACACACGCTGACAGGGCTAAGAAACATTTCTCCTCTGGAAGGGCCAATATTCTTTTGGTAATCAGACAAGAAGCATCCTCTAATTCATCTTGTCTCCCCTTGGCAGATATGATTCAAGTCAGAGAGGTCTTGAGTATTCAAATACAGTTGTCTTCAGCCAGATGCTGACATAATTTTTGCTTCTTACTCTGTGTTGAGCATTTTTAACCTGGGTTTTTGAATGGTCTTCCTGAGCATGGACACACCTACTGAAATGACATGGAAATATTCATTTTTCTGGAGCATGGGTCTATAACTCCCACCAGATCCTCAAAGTGTTTCAAGATCCTAATTTTCAAGTTTTCAGCCTTTTAAAAAATTCCTCTTCTTACCAGTTACCTTGTCTGTGCAGTTTTAATGGTGTAAGTGGAATGCAGTATAAAAACCATAAATAAACATATGCATCCAGCCTGACATTTTAAATTTTCCTGAGTCAGCAAGTAGGAGGCGCATGGTCCAGGCTGCCCTCTCCCTGGTCTTCTGCGTGATGCTGAGGCGGGGATGGGGCTCTCACTGCAGCACCGGCTGGAGATACCAACCTTGCAAGCACTGTGCCCGGGAAAGGTAATGGACAGATTAGTCTGGAGCTCCCGTGTTCAGGGGTGATTCTAAGTGGGCCAGGAACGGGGCGCTTTGACTTTACAGTCCTATGTGGGCTTAAATTTCTCCAGAATGCAAAGGAGTAGGAGGCTAAGGTGGACGCAGGTGGAAATAGTTGGGAAGCCAGAACCTTCCAGCATATCTGGGACTCTGTCCTCTCTGCCTGCATGCTTTCACCACGTGCTTCACCACCTCCCTCTCCCCCAATCATGTGCCCCACCAGCTGCCCTGCCTGCAACCACGTGTCCCAGCTCTAGGCCCTCTGTGACTCTAGTTCCTCAGCCTTCCCCATGGGACCCACCAAAAGCTGGTTCCCTACCCTGTTGTAGGGTAAGTGAAAATTATCAGGCTTTTCTGCCCTCCTGCCATTAGTATTAATGATAGACCCCTGCGGTCCTACATGCTTGCCTGATGGCGGGCACCTGGAATAGGGTGTGGGTGCGCATAGGTGGGCACACCTGGGCTGAGAGACTGAGCTTATAATGGTGGTATCAGGGGGGTGCCAGTAGAGTAGCAGAATGAGAAGAGCAGCAGCAGGAGGAGCAGAGAAGCAGAAACCATGAGAGAACGCCAGAGAGCCCAGAAAGAGTGAAGACTTGTTGGGAGCTGGGAGGCTGCCAGCCTCCCGGCCCCCCTGCCTGCAGTGTACCTGGGTGCCACATTACATATGATGTAAAAAGCTCAATAAAAGCCTGAAAAGCTACCGAGGACTCTCCTTTACCTGTCAGCCTGGATCATAGAGAACTTGGTCTGTGCCTTCCTGGCACTACACCTGTGCTCCCTGGTGTTCTGCCAGCCCTGCCACATGCTCTATCATGCTCCATGCTCACCTGCACTTGCCCCATTAAAAAATATCAGAAAGAACCTTTGATGTTGAGTCAGGTTCCAAATGAATTCCTTTGTAGATCTGACTAAAGTAGTATTTTAATGCAATGCCCCAAGGAAAACTTTGGCACTCACCCTGGTGCTCAGTGTGGTGATCTGTGGATGTAGGATGAGTATCACACCCTTAGGTGTGTATTAGAGTGTATTAGGAATTACTATGCTATTAAAGAAGTTTATTAGAACTTAATGGAAACAAGAAGTTTATTAGAAATCAGAATTTCAGCCCTCTTCCTGGGCCTACTGGGCCCCAAAGCTTCATTTTAAACAAAATTCCAAGTAAATCAACATTAGAGAAAGGTGAGTATAGAACACTAGGACTCTCATTCTCAAGCTTACCAAACTTGGCCTATCTAGAATATACACCCCAATTGGATGATCTCATACAATTCACTGTCCTTTCTACAAAAAGGGGGTAATAATATATACCCTTCCTCCCTTACAGAATTACCCTGAGTTTCAAATGAGAGCCATAGATTCAGTCTACTTACTGTGGTGGGGCTGGCAAGGGTTTCTGGGTTGGTGAGGAGAATAGATGTGGTATCTGCCCTCATGGAGCAGATGGGCTGGTAACAGAGCTTTCGTTGTGTGCATTTATCCATTCATTCAATGGACAATCATTTATCAAAACATAAAGACCTCACGCTATGCCAAATACAGAAATCTGAGCTAGATATTGGGGAAGCTGAAATAACCGAGCTGTAAAATCTGTCTTCAAGGAGCTATCAGTCCTGTCAGAAATAAGGATATGTAAGCGGATGATTGCATTTAGAGCACCTATGTCTGGTTCTCCGAGGGGGTTGTGGGGGCACAGGGAAGGCAATGAGGAATACTGCTTTAAAGGAAGACTATTAAGTGTACCATGTTGGGAAGGGAGGGAGCAGCACTGCAGGCAGAAGGAATAGCAGGGGCAAAGGTAAGGGAGCATGAAGACAAGTCTGCTTGCATCGTGCCCAGAAGGTAAGGAGAATTTTGGGGAGGGCCAGGAGATCTTGGGGCCAGATCTTAGATGGTCCTGTTGTCCAAAGCTAAGGAATCGGGTAGGAAATGGGGGGCCCTTGAAAGGAGAGGAGTAGCAATTATAGATCCGTTTCACAAAGACAGGAAGTCTTTTAAGAGGTGATGAAGTAATCGTTTGGAGTAGTGATTGTGGGAATAGAAATTAATAGACGGGGTACTGAGGAAGGTAAACAAGACAGAACTTGAGCTAATGAATGAGGCGTGAAGGGAAAGGAGCTTTCTTGCTTGGTTCCTGGGCAGGTGGTATTACTGCTAACCAAGGATATCAGAAGAAGACTGGGTGATGAGCCTAAGCCTGGGCCCTGGGGGCATAAGGTGCCTCTTTGGCTTTGTCCAATAGGCAGGAGTCACAGACGCCTAGGGCTGAGGAGAGAGGTCCAGGCTACGCACAAATTTGGAAATCGCAAAACTTATAGGGCGTGCTTGGAACCATGGACCCCCCATGGGAGTGAATGGGGTTACAGGAGGGTGAAAGAGAATAGGATTGAGAGTGGCACCAATTTTTCAGGGACAGACAGGTAAGATGATTGCTCATGAGATGAAGGAGGCTGACTGAGGCCAATGGGACTTTCTGTTTCCCATGGGTCCCCCTGGGCACCGAGAGTGAACACCCACCAGAATTATCTCCGGGGTGACCCTGGGGTCGCTGCTCTGTGAGCCCCCGAGTGAGGGATGGCTCAGGTTGGGCCCTTGAGGAACTGAGACGGGGATATGTGGGCTGGACTTGGTCTCTCCCCGGGATCTTTTCCTCCTCAGGCACAGTCATGTCCTTCCACAAATCTGTTTTTCTCCCAGAGAAAAGAAGTTGTTTGTAAGAAAAGGCGAAACAAGAGATGCTTGAGTTTGTTTAGTTTTCCAGATCAGACAAGCACCAGGCACCTTCTAACACTGAAGAAAACCCTTCTGGTGTGTCCTAGGGTGACTCCCATGAGCTCAGTCTTTCCTTATCATTAAAGAGCAAAGAGAGTCAGATCCATCAGGATTAACCAAAGAAGGATTTTGCAACACAAAACCAAATGGAGGAAATGGTTTCAGAATTATGCTAGTTGATTCATGGTCTCCTATAGAGACGGGCTGTTTCTTTAAACTGATAATGGCGCCAAATAATTGATCTAATTGGTGATCTTGTTTTATAATGGAAAGTCAATTGGCCTCTTTAGCTATGTTGGCAACTTCACTGGTCCATTAGTAAGACCAAAACATGACAACATTGACGGGAAAAGGCCATTATCACTGTGCTCAGCAGGAGTCATCAATAGATGATGTCATTTCAGAAATAAGCAAGCCAAGGTCACGAGGGCCCTGGCAGTCAAACTGCTCTTCATGGCCCATCACCTCCTCCTTTGCAGAGGCTGAGGTCTGCAAGGGGGCACAGGGGCCTGAGCCAGGACCAGCTTCATTTTTCCCTGTCTTCACTCAGCTTGATCCTAGAGGAAGTTGACTCTAGAGCTGCTGGCAGTGGCTCTCAGCTTCTTTCATACTTCTCACCCCAGAAGCACTTGTTTGTGCCTGCCTCCAGGGCCTGCTCCCTCGCTTTCCCATCCAAGTGCTCAGAGTTGTGAGCGCTCCTACACTCTCTCAGCTCCCATTCGTTCCTAGCTCTTCCCCCACTAGCACTAATAATAACACTGCAAGGCACCAGGCACTGGCATCACCTCACTTAATCCCCCACAGCAACCCCTCTGAAATGGATCCTACTATTATCCCCACTGTACAGAGGAGGCAACTGAGGCGAAAGCAGACAGACAGACAGGCTGGGTCACTGGCCCGGTAAAGCAGTGGCAGGCTCTATTTTTTAGTCTCTGCAATGCCCAGGTCAAAGTCACCAGGACTCCCTGCCAGTCCTGGTGCCCCTTCCCAGCGTGTTCCTCCCTTCTCCGGTAACTGACCACTGACCTCCCTTGGCTCTTGGGAAGTCACTTTCTGGCCCTCTTTCTGGACTCCTCACAGCATGAGCCCTCTGTATTGTATACCTGGCATTTCATTGTTCTCATGCTAGACAGGGGACACTCCCCCGGGAAACTCAGAACCCCTTGATGCAGGTCTTCCAGAGCCCACCTTGCCCAGCTCCTTGCTGCTCAA